GCATGATCACAGACATAAGAAGTACAAGTAATTATGTTCAAGACAGGGAGTCTACAGCAAATTCACCTTCCAGTGATTTAATCACCACGAGACCTATATCCGCATATTTCTGTATGTTGTAGAATTTATTGAAGTTATCATTTGACTCGATAAAGAATCGGACACGTGATAATTGTTGTGTAGAGTCCACGCGCCTTTAGTACATTCTGTAATAGTTTCGCATTCGGTGGCAGTCACTGACTTGACAAAATGTACTTTTCTTGATGTTTTCTTCATCGATAGCATCATAAGAGCGGACAACTTGTTGCTGAAGGTCTGTGAGCCCAACCTCCTGACCGAGGCGCCAAATAGCACGCTGGCCCAACCCTTGTTTCAAATCACCTACCAGGACCTAATCACGTCATTGACTCGGGGCCTAAAGGTCGTTTATCGCCTAACTTTTCCACCTGAAAGTGGATTGCAACCTTTCCTTACTGCTGGCAGCAAGCCCCCCAAGTTGGTTCTACTTGAAACGAAGGTGAACGGCAAGGATGTGGTGAGTTTCCTTTTTGGCTGGACTGTATGCCAAATTTGACTGCTGTAACGATAAGAGCATGTTTACTAGAGCCTGGCGAAATTTAGCCTGACAATCACGAGAATACAATAAGCAATAACGGTGTGCGAAGTACCGCATCAATGTCTAGTCTTGTGTGTAGCTCTAATAAATTACTCTTTTGTTAGTGTTGTCTGTCTTTTTGGCGTTGTTAGCGGTTTCTCATTATGTAGCATTACTAGCCAAAGGCATCAGAAGCACCCATGTCTCCTGTCATTTACACCTGTACAAACGAGAACTCGGTGGCTGAGCAGTATGAAGACCACTGTGTAAACAATTTACGGTCGATATGACCTCTTCGGTCAAGCGTGCGGTTCGGTTCGCCTTCGCCGACCGGTGGACCATTGGTGTCTGTTCTCGGTTGGACGGAATGAACCTCATTTTTTTAGCACCGGAAGCGAGTGACGCACCGCATATTACCTACATATTACTAACGTTGGGGCTTTAATGCCGTTTCGGTTCTTTTGTTTTTATAAGCGTGAAAAGCTTCTGGTAATCAATAAGTGTATTTCGAAGAGTATTTCATTTCAATCATTTGAACTTAATTGGAATCAAGATAACGTTCTCATCTTCCCAGAAATAGGGTGCTTATCACCCATTTTATAGGGCCCGTCTGTGAACCAACTGTGTCGTAGGCATGTTTGGTTTTCTGGTCCCAGGTGGCCGCCTACCCGAAAATTTGTGCATGTCCCGTGTGCTATCATAGCTTGCCAGAGTTCGCCCTGACAGCCGATTGTGGTTTTATTTCCGGACGCCAATGAATCAATGTGAGGTTATTTCGGCTTCAATATAGGTAATGTGTGTATGACGGCGACCTGGGGAACCGGCGTTGAAAAGTTACACAATAAAGTATCTTTTCTAAATAACCTATCTAATTTCAATTTATATTTCATTATATGACTACCTTTCAACACATGTTGTGAGGAGTAAGAGGAAGTGTCATAAGCGTCCGTTTTAGCTCCTCGTGTCCTGGAGAGGGGGCATTCCCTGTCGGCAGGACTTTACATGTACTGGCATGCATTAGCGGCTGTTATTCATAAGGCCGATGCCAATCAGTGCATCGTGATCGAACACCCTGATAGTGAAAATCTAGGTAAACGCGGCGGTTTATGCTCTCCGCATTGGAGTACCAAGCCTCGAAAAATGCCTGTGACCGTTTAGTTAGCCGTGGAGATCACTTCAGTACATTTTTAGCGGGCGTATGTTCTACAAACCAGTGGAATTTATTATCAGTCTCCGGATCAGCATGTTTGTACCATCATCGGACTGATATACTATTAAATTACCGGGTTGTCCAAAGTCAACCTACCACACTACGGCTATTGGTCAAAGAATAATTAGTCGCTAGCCTTTATTCCGTAATAAACCTTTACTAAGGATTGTTCTACCGTTCGCCACTAGTAGATACCCTAGCTGACAAACAGTTAGAACAGTCTGACCCCGTCGCCCATGCGCATAAGCCATGCCTGACATTCCAAATGATCTAATACGTATGCTAATTACATACACTTTAGACTAGAATTTCCAATCTTGTGACTTTCGGTATTGACCCAAAGAGTTTCTCGCGCCACCTTCGAACGATCCTAGCTTGTTCTGTAAACGTCCTCGATGATACTTCTCATTACACCTCTGCAGTCCAGGCCCAAGGAGCTCATGCCGTCAGGTTGTCGAAACTGCTAACAGGTGAGCACAATTTGTTTGTCCCATACCTGATTTTGTTGGTTTTCCTGCACTGTGGATTTCTACCGCCAAACAAAGATATTTAGGAACAGATTAATAGAGATAAGAACCGAGGGGTGAACGTCGTTTGTAATGGCTCAGGTTTCCAAACCGAAGAAGTTTGTACATTCCTGACATACACTTGTTATTAACGGACTTATAAATTACATGCAAACAGAACTTTTCATTGCTAGGTAATCGTTAAGCCTATGCAAATAAGCGCCCATTATAAAGAGATGCAGCAAAAGGCTAAGTGATGTCAAAACGGTCTATCAGGAAAACTTAACGCTGATTACGTCAGCTCGTTCGCATGAAAACGTCCTTGTCTACCTCGTGGCATGTAAACTAGCAAGCGACAAATCTAAACTCAATAACCGCTAAAACCCAATTTTTCACATGGTTAGGATTATACTGCCATGGTCGGACCAACCTGAAGACGACAGAGACCTCATAGTCAAGTAATGCCTTATTTACTCGCCATGCTGCTACATCAAAGTGTAGGCCCCGCACGTCTTTCTTGCAGTATTTTTAAAGTCTTTATTTCCGAAAAGTCAAAGGACCTGTTTTAATGCAAAATACCTGTCCATTTCAGAAAAATTCGGACTCTCAGAAGGATGCATTGATGGATACCAGGCACCGAAAAAGTCCAAAAAGAAGGGTGGTCGATAGTCGGACGCATGTATACTCGTGCTTTTTTCTACCTTTCTACTGCAAAAACTTTCTTCTTTGCTTGATGCTACAATATAACGATAAAAAATAGAATCCCTTAGCTAAATTCGTTCATTCTTCCATGTTTTCTATTTGTGGTACGCCCTGCCCCTGTGTGACCCGCAAGGCAACTACCATAAAGTGGTCGATAAATCATTTTAAACGTATAAAACAATCGATAAACATGGAGGAAGGTGAAAACAAGTGCGTGAAGGAAGAAGAAGATAGCCTCGAAATTGAAGTTAATGTAAAATAATGAGGTGGTTCCACTGATAATATTAAGGTTCAGGATATTGTCAAGCATTTTCAGGAGACCCTATTAAAAATGGTCGAAAAGGTTGGAAACCAACATATCCTTTCAGTCGGTTTCATTTTAACTGATTAATCATAACTCTTTATACGTTGCAAAATCCTTGACCCTGATTATACTGCAAAATATCGAAAAACGGGTAGATGAATTGGACATGATGACGAACGATTTGTTGAACGGCCAGAAAAAACAGGACCGAGAATAAAAGGGATGTGGTTATCCTTCTGCTTGTGATCTTTTTTAGAGAAAATACAAATACGCCTTGTCTCAACCTTTACCTCAAACGTTATCAGCAATTATCCTGAGCGTTGGATATCCGTAGTATATTGTAGGAAAAATTTCTGCACTGGGAGTCAAACTTTCGTTGGCGAAACGGAACAGATAAACTTCGCGACCTGTCATCGTTATTATCCGTAGAGTCGAAAGACTGGAAGTTGTGGTTGCTTATATCGTTCCGACTAAGTGGTGCAAGGGTATTAGGTGAAGCCGCCTCAACTCTTCTTGGTTTATAGAGTATAAGACGAATCGGTCGGTGACAGCAGCACAACAGACAGCAATGGAACAAGACTAAAAGTAAGCCGCATGTGATCAACGGTATGAGCGCTACAATGGGTCGGATGGAAGTCCTGTTGAGTGTGCAGTTCAGCATGTGGTGCCAAACCCAGTGCGTTCGATTCAAGGCATCACCAACGTCTCGGCACAGTAGCAGTGCTCCGTCCTTCGAGTTAACTGATATACGCGGAAGCACCAAAATTCCCTGTTCTATCTGCTCCTTTGTTGCAGGTTCATTATAACTATATAGTTCCGTCAGGTTTCTATAGGCGTCTTTGCAAAAGGTACAAACGGTTGCATCGACAGAAACTTTGTCCAGTGGCGGGAAATTAACAGGATCGAGGAAACTTACGGAAGTGTTATATATGAAAGGGGTGATGCATAGAAGGACGTCGTTTAACTTGAAAAAAAAATCAAGGGTCTGATTATTGTATGCGGAGTACTTGTAGTCCGGATAGGAGGATGAGGCAACTAGAGAATTTCGCGAATCTGGTTTCGCCTTATCCAAATATCGGTACTTCGAATCGCTTAGCCGTTGTCTTCTCTCAACCAAACAGCTTGAACAGCGTCCACTTTGCCAGGTGTCAACTACCTTCCAGAGAATATCCTTAATGGGCTGAAAGTAGAAAAACGTCAGTGTCTTTCACATCTGTAATCTAGATTTTACCACGAAAACTGGGCTAATTAAAGATTATTCGAGCGCACAGAATTTCCAGAGGCGCAGTTCAGTCGACGGT